TTAATAAATTTGTTAATACTCATACACTGTAGTTGTTATTAGTAATATCATTACAGATAATAAGAAAGACGCGTAACCACTTCCGCGTAACGTTGGTTGGTTGTATAACGATTAAAGCATAATTTCGCTGAAACGTATTTTACATGCATGAAATTGCGGTAACGTTCAATTCGCAAAAGTTCTATGCAAATGCAGATTTACAAAGGTAACATAATAAATGAGAAGTACTTTAATCTACTATTCGCGAAATGCACAGCCTTGCAAGTGCAGCGCCTGTTTGCAGAGGATCTTCGTGCAGACGTGTATAATACGCAACCGTTTAGTAGATACGTATTTAGTTCATCCCGGAAGATTTCTTCGAGTAGAGCAATAATATCGATGAACGCAAATGTTTTCGTAATTTATTTTTTCGACGTTATATTATCTTATTTTTGCAATTATCCTTCAATTAAGAAAAGGAAGACAATTAAGCCTAAACACGTAAGTATAATAATAAGTATAATAATATTTTAAAAAAGTTAATTAGTGAGAAATTTATTCGTGACGAGGATATCAAATATATTGCAGTCTACTTCGGATCCTTGTGAATTTTTTAAATTCTGGGCGCTTTATATCTTTCTTAGATGTTTATCTTCTTCTCTGTTTTATTTTTGAAATTACATATTTATTGTGTATATATAAGATAGCAATATTTATATCAAAATAACAAAATTAAAAAAATCTTTTATAAATTTAAAAATCGTAAAGAAAGCGAGAAAGATTCTTGGAATAAAAGTGAGTTAATATTGAAAAAAATTCTTCAAGGATCTTTCTTCATGTCGAGTGAAATTTCTATAACAAGGAAGTGGTATTGGCTGATTTAAATAAAAGTTGTCTCGAACTGGAGTTTATCATCGCGAGATCAATTTTATAGCGGCGCCGTTCAGAGATGCACCGAAGATTTTCCAGCGTTTTCAGTTGACGCTGTTTCTATTTTCGTTTTCTTCCAAAAATATAAATTTACTAATTTACACAGTACACTCTCCATTAAGTGCTCTTCACGTATAAACGTTCAACAAGTTTACACGAGCCCTACGTGACCGTGTAAACACCGACGAGAAACGAGCGACGCTGCTCCGAGTGGCGTAATTTTACACATACTTCACACGTTACTGTTTAACACAATGTATATCGTCCACGATTATCTATTGGCTGCTGATTAATTGTAGAGAATTCGTCACCTACATTTATTACGACACGCATTGTCGATAAAACGATCGTTACGCGTTATCGAGGGAAAAAAAAAAAGAAAGGAAAAACGCTTGCAAATATTCACATCGCGACAGAAAATATCGGCATATACAATGCTGCCTCCTGAAAAAAAAGCCCTGTCGAGGTTCTGGAACGATAAAATTTGAAAATATCGAGTTGCTGTTTTCACGCCGTTTTTTCCACACCATACGAATCAGTGACTAATTATTCGACGCGATCGTGCGGCGCGACTCAATTACTAAAAAAACGTGCAACTCTCCCGTTAGGTGGTGATCGAAATGCATCGATTAAATGGATCACGGATATAAACACCCATTGAAATCGCAATAAGTCCGCACAGGTGGTTGACATTTCTCCTTGCGATTAAAAAAAAAGAATCTAGTTTTATGAATAATAAAATCGCCAAGTTTTTATTTTCGTAATTTCTAAAATTATTATTGTAAAAATTCCACAATGTAAAGTAATAATATATCGCTCGTAAAAAAGATTGTAGCTTTAAAATAAACGCAATAAACGCAATCGCCTTATTCATAGGATTACTCTTTTAAATAATACGTATGAGATATTATGCAAAATTCCTGTATTTTTTGTAATCTTGTTGGTGATTAATTTTACACGTATTTGCACGCGTATTGAGTTCCGTTCCAAAACTCGTCTTCAAACGAAAAAAAATTGCGCGTTCGACGTGTGTTTTCGCGAAATGATAGGTGAATAAATGTAGGCTCAGATTATTTGATTTTATTGAAGTTCTGCTGTTGCACGGTGTAAGTCAACGGAGTCATCGTTTCGGTGAGGGAAAACATTGAATATACGGATAAGATGTTGCGTAGTTTATAATGTGGATACGTTCGAACGTAACTGGAGAATTCATCTAACTTATTTACGTATATATACAGTGATAATTATTTCTAATGTACAGTACTGGTTTAAAGAGAGTAACAAATGCTATCTTACAATTATCTTTATACAGCATAATCGAAAGAATGTGCTTCGATCGTGTGCGCGATGACGATTAACGAGTTCGATGCCAAGAAGATTTCTCGTTACTGCGCGAGCACCAATATTTGCGATTCGTTTGTAACGACGAATCCGCTTCCTCGGTCCATTAGCTCAGCGATACATTTACATTAATAGCAATAAATACCGACGCAAACGTCCATGCTACTTGCCTCCTTCGGGCATTACTGTGACACTTACGAAATCTTCTCTATGATTACGTCGGTTTATTCTTCACGACCTCATACGTCACTTTATTATGGTAATAAGGATGGTACAAGCTACAGATTGGATTGTCTTAATCTAGAATCGTGTATCTTGGACCGGAATGAACGTTGTGGAGAGATGTGTGTAAATAAAGAGTGTTTTCAAATCGAACATTTTCGCCTGCTCTGTCATTGCTCGCAAATGCGTTCAAATATATTTGGTTTACGCGAAATTTAAAAAAGTGCTATTTGCGTTACTACGTTAAAGAGGATCTGAAACTGTAATATTGCTATTCTCGATAAATCTTGCACACAGATCTCGAGGTTTAAATCTAGCATAATTTGAAAATACACGCGCGCGGCGATTTTTATTGCGCGTCCGGTTGCATTTGCATAAAGCGTGCGATAAATCCACGCGTGAAGAACCACTCACATTGATAATAATGTAATAACAATATTTTTCTCGAGTACAACAAACAAATAAACAACAGAAGGTATATAAAAAAAGTTGCAAACTTTTTTCTCTTTCGAAAGAATTTTTTTCATTTAAAAGTATAAATATAAAAAGTATAATAAAATATATTATAAATTAATATAAATATATATATTAAGAAATTATTTCCTTTATGACTCTGGGATATTTCTCGCGAATAAATTGTCGATCAATATACACTGATCACGTAAAATACGGCCGCAATATCCTTTCGAGAGCAGTGTCTTCCGACGCCATATCTGCCGTCAGACACGATGGCCGGCCTTGCTGGGAAAAAAAAAAGCCGCCCTCCAGGCAGCTATCAACCCCCGCAAAACCGTTCCCTCCCGCAACGAAATCAGCCTCATCGAGAGACTACCACCCTAAATTCTCGCGAGAATATATTTCGGCGGGAGCCGCCTACGTGTCTGCGGCTCCCTTTCAATTTCCACGCGGTTCGCGGCCGCCCTTACACGAAGGAAAATATTTGCCGGAAACCGATACAACGTGCGGCAAACAATATGCGCCCGGCGCTATCCAATAAATCCGGTAATAAAGCTCCCCGATACCGAAAAACGAGAGCCGCTGTAAATTTAATGAATGCTCTTGACATCGATCGACTTCGGGGAAACTAAAAGGGAGAATTCGCGCATGTCGGGCGAAGTGAAAAATAACTTTTCCGGCGCATTATGACGCTTATTAAAAAGATTCTTTTGTAGCAGCAAAAAATTATCGTGCGAATGCACGAGAGAGATCACGTTCAAATTGTGTAATGAATATATCTTAAGGAAATTATAGATTTTTCTACAGGCACAACACGTCTACGACGACAAACCAGTGATTCTTCACGCGAAAATCCTCGATGTGACGACGAAGGTAAGCGTAACGTAAATCATTTACACATACTATCGTGAATAGGTAATTACCCTGCGTGACCCGGGGTCATGCGTATACATCTACGAAATCTAGATCAGACACGAAGTGGAAGATGGGTAAAGTCCATCGGATTCGAGCTCGAATTGTAAAACTTATTGTGCTGTCTAAAAAATTCCACTCTGTGATAATCAGATCACGTTGGTAAAAAAATCTTTTCGTTCAATTTCAAAGAGGATTTAATTGCGACGAGCTGCTGCTCCTGATTACTGATTCGCCAATGCGGGCGTTGGCAAATTTACAAATTGTTCAAGAAGGGTTGAGGGCGGGAGGGGGGAGAAGGGAGGAGGCGGGAGGGGGAGGGAAACCTATCCTATCTCCTAATCCTAATCGAATAGTTTCGTAGATAGGTATTGCCATTCAGAAAATTGACGGTCGTAAACATTCGAGGACGCGAGTTATTAATCCGACATGCGAGGAAATTACACGATTAATGATATTAACTCTACGAACAATGAAATATTGTTCGATCGAATCGAAACACTACAAGATATAATTGCAACGTCATTTATCAAGCATGCTGTCTGATGTTTCCGATAAAAAGCCTTTAGCCGCTTGTATTTGTGGATGGAGCAACGCGTTTCGTTAGTAAATAAAAATGAATCACGAAATGAAAATGAACGAACGAAATTCTTCTGAACTTATGAGGAAACGAGGGAAAATGTTTCGGACACTCGTATCATCGTTCGGAACAGTGTTCATTCCACGCACAACCGACACTAACCGCGCGTCTTCGATGCGATCGGCGATTACGCTGTCGTGCGAACTATATCGGAAAGTCGAGCTTTCGACTCGTAGCGTCCGTCTTCGCGTCTACCGTGGCGATCGTCACCGACAGCGGTCGTCACCGTCGGCAGCGATCAAGCGCGAGGGAAACGCCGCACTCTACGTCTCGGGGACGTGGGATCGCACTTGCGCGACGGTGCACGGATCGCGGAAATTCAGTCGTTTCACTCACTGGTGTCGGAGTTGTGCACGGGGGTGGTCGCCGGTGTGCTGGGGGCCTGATGCTGCGTCGACTGCGTCGGTATCCCGAGGGAAGCGAGGAGCGGTCGTGGCACCGCGCCCGGGGTGGCGCTCGGCGGCGGCGGGCTCTCCTGGCCTACGAGCAAACTCGCGGGCGGGAACCCGAAGAGCTGGGATCACTGGAGCCTCGGCCAATAGTTGCCCGCCAGGTCCGGGGTCTGCGACGGAATCTGCACCGGCACCGAGACGCCGGCTGATATCACTCCTGAAACAGTTTCAGATGTCGGGGGATTCAGCGCATTTCATACGACGGCACGAGAGAGAGAGAGAGAGAGAGAGAGAGAGAGAGCTGTCGAGGCTCTGGAAAACGGGACGGGAAGATAAAAAGTAATTGTAAACGAGCGAAGCAATACGGATGGTACAGATGATGGGGGCTGAGAGAGAGAATCACACGTCGTGGCACGCAAGAAACAGAAATTTAATTTTCCACACGAAAGAACGTTTTCGCTTAAGTGTGTCTAACATGTGTCGCGGCTAAATATTATGTATATACAGATCTGAAAATAATTTCCTCGGACCATCGAAATAATTATGTAAGGCACCAAACTGATTCAAATTGGTTGGAATGTGAGAACTTTTGGCAGCGTTACTCATTCTGCTTGAAATTCCCAATTTCTGATGGTCCAACAAAATTATTTCAAAAATAAGTACGACCATGCTTATAGTATAAATGATATATACATATATAAATATGATAGGGAACGCCAATAATCGGGCAAAGTTAAATGTTATGTTAAATGTTATTAATACAATATATTGTATATTGTTAATTTTAAATTTAATTATCTTAGATGTGAGTGTGCGCGCCGAAACGTTCGGACATTAACCACAATCGATCTGAGACGCTAATAATATAAATATGAATATGATAAGACGCCAAAATATTCGGACATTCCTATATATGAAATAATCTCCCCTAAATTGAAAAATTATTTTAAACTTTTATTCAGTCAAATTCTTAGATACTTCAGCAAAATCATTCTTTCCCGTAGGATATCGTTCGATAGTCTCGAAATTGATGGATTATGTTAGGATAAAATTCCTAAGATAATTTTCCGTGTCGCTTGAAATAAATGAAATTAGTCATCTCGTCTAATTATTATTTAATGATTTAACTTATTTCACTATTTTGTAACAATGCATGTATCTTCGTGATTAAGATAATACAGTTTCAGCAACTTGCGACGATTGCGACGATCGTTGCGAGCGGAACGCGTCATTAATCGCGTGAAACACAGTAGGACTAATTCGCTAAAAACAACCGAGTACGTATTTACGGAAAACGACATGAAACGCATTCGCGAGTGTCGCCCGCGGCGACGGTTGCATAAATAGGATTCGGTTATGATAGCGCGCGGCGGCTTTGCACACTTCTGCAATTTGAATTAAACACCTTAACGAGCTGCGTCTAATCCAATATAAACTTGCCGCGAAAACATTTACGCTCTATGGGCCTCGCGTCGTAACTTCGTTCCTCGCATGAGCTATAATTATGGCATAAATGCAAGACGGATAATTTGGCAAACGTTGCAACGAGGACGTGAGTGCCATATTTACGTTAACCGTTGGAACTTTTATTCGGTTAAAAATGAACATATTCAAAATATCGGAAGTTAATCGTGGTACAAAGGTGCGAAGAAGCGTAGAACGTAGAATCCTATTCATTTGCGTTTCTTTCAATTGCGTAATTCAACGATAATATCAGATACACTGAAAGACATTTAGCACGTGTGTAACTATTTATTTCATCGATATGTGACTAACCAAAACTTTTTCACTTTTTTATTGAAAAATTGTATTGTTCTAATGAAAATTTCGTTCAGTTAACCAATTGAAAAAGATTTGAATACAATAAAAGAGCGATACAATAACTTTTTTAATAAAAAGTCAGAAAGTTTTTATCAGTAGCGTAAATAAATAATTAAAAAAAAAGCGTA